AAGACATGCTCTTAGGCGAAATGGGAAAAATCGAGAACAGAGAATAGTGTGAAAAGGTAAATGGACAACGTAGAGTGGGGTTGATGCAGCTATAGGGGCTAGAAAAAAAGGGCAAATGAAGCCATAATTGTCAAGCATAAAATTGGTCAAGAGGATTAGCTTCACTTGTCACTGATAAATTCTGTAACATATAGTGAATCCCACGGATGATGCTGGTAAAATATCGGGGAATTAATCAAGTCAACAGTCTGATAATGGAAATTATTATGGATATGGCAGATACAGAACCAAATAAGTCAATTAATCGCTCTGTGGCACCGACCAAATTGGGAATATGAGGTCAAACCAACATTTAAAAAGTTAACTTATTTATTCGTAGCTTTTTTTCAACAGAATAAACAAATCAAGCCTTAATTGCAGGTATGAAGACCAAGATGGTGTTGTATTTTGTGTATTCGGAGTCTCCTTACGTCGTATAGAAGTTGTTTGACCTTGTTTTCGCAACTTGGACATATTGGTAGGAAGACTTAGAAGAATGCACCTAGTCCAGAGTCCATTGTATGCATGATCATTTCCAAACTCAAACCATGGATGCTGTACATTCTTAGACGTCTCGCCGGCATCGTCAGTGAGTCTCGCCATTCTTAGCACCACAAAACAACTCGTCAAAGAGACAAGTGAGGCCAATCCTTTGACCAAACGTGTGCTAAACAGTTGTGGTATCTTCCTTTCTGACCTCACTATTCACATTTCTTATATCCTCCTATCACACCCTCACTGTTACAATTTTTACCGTCCTTATTTCGAGGTATTGTGGTGTGCTCCTTTGGTCGGCATTCATTAAAACCCTTTACACTCCACGCTGTCGTTCTCACCCCCTTCCCCCTTGTGTTGGGAATGTTGATACAAATCTACCATATTGTTACGCAGTCCTCCTTCCATAGGTCTTATCACAGTCTCTCTTACTCCGTAAGATCTGTCTGCTATATCCCTGGTTCATCTATTTCACATGAACCCTGCTACCCTATCTGTGCTACTCGAGGCGTTATTGGCCCTCCCCTACGTCTGGATAACTAATTCGAGGCTCAAGCCTCTGAGTAAGTATCATCGTCAAACCTTTACTACATGAACCACGTCTATGGTACAACAGACCTACTGTCAGCCAACTAGATCCAGTCTCCGTCGCGTCTATTCTGTTTCTGTCCGTAATACGAAGTCTATGACTTGCTATGCCTTAGTCTCTTGTGTGCCAACCCACAAACATTGTGATTTAACATTGAACCTAATCAAAGCAGTACCACAGTATTTGTGGGTTAGCACACAAGAGACTAAGGCATAGCAAGTCATAGACTTAGTATTACGGATATAAACAGGATAAACGCGGCGAAGACTGGACCAGGATGGTGTTGCCTTTTGTATGGTAACGGTCTCCTTTAGTTTTATATAAGTTATTTGTCCTTGTTTTCGCAACTTGATCACATTGACAGGAAGATCTAGAGGAACGCATCTTGTCCAGAGTCCATAGTTTGCATGATCATTTCCATATTCTGACCGTAGACTTGGTACATTCCCAGACGTTTCTCCTGTATCGTCAGTGGTGCTTTTTATTCTCAGCACCAAGCTGCTACTCTTAAAGAGACAAGATAAATCATTCCCTTAAGCTTTTCTGTCGAAACCGTTGTGCTATCACTCCTCGTTATGACCTGGCCCCTGTATCCATTTCCTAACCTCTTGTCTCGCCATTGGATCATTAGTCAATTTGATCATAATACGCTATTTCTGTGACTTAATCCTTCTCCATAGTCACATGAAACGTCAGGACCTCAAAGTTCCAATCTCCTATTCATTAAATTTTTTAACCCATAGATGTCAATGGCCTCCCTAATCTTCCGTTTTTTGGCTTTCACTTTATGAGGCCATTCTTTTTATTGCCTTTCAAGTGATCAGTATCCAGTCTCTGCGATGTGTTGAACTATATATGATGTTTTAGTATCCATTTTCCTATAGAGCCGTTGCTGTTCCTTAATTAGTAAACGGATTTTTATTTACGCAGGCGCTATATGCTATGCTATACTAGGGAATTTACTGCATAGCATGCGGCGCCTCCTAGTGGAAATATACTGGCGAAGCTGTGAGAAAAATCCGTTTACTACTCAAAGAACAGCAACAACTCTATAGGAAAATGTATACTGAAAGATGATATATAGTCTAACACATCGGAGAGACTGAAAACGAGATCAATTGGAAAGCAACAGAAAGAACGACCTCATACAGTAAAAACTCAAAAAAACGGAAGCTTAGGGAGGCTATTGACATCGTTTGGTCAAAAAATTAATTGCATAAGAGAATGGAAGTAGGCAGAGTTAGTGATACCTTTGCTTACTACCTAATCTAACTCTACCAAAACAGGGATGCAACAAGACAAGCAAAAGGAAGACGCCTGGATAAAGGATATGTAGTAAACCAGCGAAAAAGGAATCGAAAGAAAGAAGAGGATAAGGAAGTTTCGTAAATAAGGCGAAGACGTTCTCAGTTAGTATAGTCAACTTAAATAAACAAATACAACTTTGAGGTACCGACGTTTCAATCAAGATGATAGTAAACTTTTGAAAAAAAGTTTCGTTACATTCGGTTACAAAAATTGGGCATTATGACGAAATAGACTAATAATCCAATTGAGATGAAGCAGGCGACCATAGAAAAATTTCTACAGTTTTCTCTGGGTACACGGGCTTAATCTAGGAGATGATGCGTGAAGGCAATGCCTAATAACCGCAAAAGGTGTCCAGGGTGGACTGTATTTTCGTCTTTCCTAGATTCTATCGATACCTCCAACGAGACTCGAATAATGGCAGTTCAGCATGTAATCTCGACACGTATACCACTACACCACATTGCCCTTTGGTCACAGCGTAGATGTTAATTTCAAAGACCAGACATTTTCCCATATCACATTCTTCGTTAGAAATGTCGATAAAGAAAAGTTATTTATTATAATAATCGACTGCATTACTTATTTTTCGTTTGAGTACGGTGTCGAGACTACCAGTGAATATGAGATTTACTAGTATACATCTCATACATACTATCTAGGTTCGTCCGGTTTTCTTTCTTCTCTTTCACAGCTCCACTGTGACCCGCGGAGTTTGAACTATTATATTATTTGCTGCCTTCAATAAGACTTTCTATTCTCAGTCTTATACTGGAGCTCAGCTGGCTTTAAACAGTACACTTGATGACAGGACTCTTTTTTTCTCTTCCTCTTGAGACATTCAACTTTACATCGGGTCCCAGAGCTCAAGAGTTTTGTATTTTAGAAACAGCCCTCGTCCTTTGGGTCACAATGGACTAATATGAAAGAAAGAGCATGTCCCGAAGGAACATCGTCCAAATAGGTTATTGTGATAAACTACAGGAGCACAAATGTGGACTTTACGTTGATTCTGTGTGCTCATTCTAGAAATGAGAAAATAAAAAAGTGTAGTTAAACTGCGAATTCCCCAAAACAAAGGATCTGATTCAAAAATACTGAGTATACCTTTTTCCTCTGTTCGATTCTTCATATACACAAACAAATTTAATCAAGATGATAGTAAACTTTTGAAAAAAAGTATCGTTAAATTGAAGTGGGTTGACCTCTTTGTCGCAACTTGGTCTTGTTGTTAGGGAAATTTAGTAGAACGCACCTAGTCCGAAGTCGTCTGTCATAGTAGTTGTCATGATTCCCAGCATCAGATAATGGACTTGGTACATTCTTAAACGTTTCGCCGGCATCATAGTCGGCATCATTAGTGAGTTTTGCCATTCTCCGCACCAAGCTACGAACTTTTCAAATGAGACAAGTGGAATCAATCCCTAGACAAACGTTCTGCCGAAAACGGTTGCACTATCACTCCTATTTCTGTCCTGGCATATCTATCTACTTTTTACCCTCTTATCCCACAGCCGCCCTATCAAAATTTCTAACCTGTTTACATTCCACTCGTTAAAATGTGTGCCCTTTTGTGGCAAATCTCCGACTCGGGCCTTCAATCCACATCGCCTCATTTTCTAGTAGATCCCTTCCTTAAATTTCTGGTTGACCGATTTCACTCGATTCCAGTTCCTGTGTGCATTTCACTCCAGACGCTATTTCTCAAGGCCCTAGAAGCCGCTTCACTGAGCAGAGCGCCTAAGCTTTGATTCCCATGCTTGCAGATATCAGGCCTTCCCTTCACGAGTCCTTTTCTTGATTAAACCTATGTTATCTGAGCAAACTTTGGACGCATATCTCTGGTCGCATGCGGCATCTCAAGTAGATTTCTAGTACATTTTGGGCTTAACACCGAATTTCTGTGATGGTTTGCTTATCCGTCTGCCCAGCTCCCTGACTGCCAGGCCCCCAAAGTTGTATTAGTTTATTCGAAATGGACATCGCTCATTGACAACGTCTTCACTATATTGCCAAAAACCCCTTCCCCCACCTTCTTCATCACGATCCCTTTTCCTTCGGTTAGCGGTAGATCCTTGATCCAGACGTCTCCTTTTTTGCTGGTCTTGCTCTATTCTTGTTTTCCCCGAATTTGTTTAGGCAGCAGGCAAAGTTATCGCTAACTCTACCTTCCTCCAATTTCTTGTTCATTAGATTTATCTCCCCAAGGATGTCAATCGCCTCCCTAAACTTCCGCTTCCTTGTATTGTCACCGTATGAGGCTCTTCCTTCTGTTGCCTTCCAATTGATCACGTGTCCAGTCTATGTGATGTGTTCCGCTAGTTCTGATCTTTCGATATCCATTTTCCTGCATAGCCTCTGATGTTCCTTGATTCGTATGCTAATTTTTCTCCCTGTTTCGTCAATATATTTCTGTTCCAGGCGCCGAATGAACAATCGAATATGTCTACCCTTTTCTTGTTGCGTCGGTGGACTTATGAAAAGTGTTGATTTCTATTTCATGGCCACCTGAATATTCCATTTACTCAATATTGGCCGTAGTTTTTGAGTTAGTTCGCAGGAAGGTAGGCATATCCACTTTTGTGAATCCTTCATCGTCCTAACTGTTCTTTCATAGTCCCTGTTCTGAAATCGGCATTTCGCGGCCCGTATGCTTCTTTGTGTTACTTCTCTAGGGTAGCCATTGCCGAGCAATATCCTCGCCAATTTGTCCAGCTCCTCGTCCCAGAATTCTACATCCGTTAGGCACAGGCTTTGGATGATCATGCTCCTCATTATTTCAAACTTAAGCCTGTAATTGTGATGGGACCAGAAATCGAGTATTATCCCAGCATAGGATTTCTTTCTGAACAATTTCTTTTTTGAGCGTCCCATTAGAGCGAATTACTTCAACGCCCAGGAACGGTAACCGCTCACCTACCTTTACTTCCAGCGATCATACCAGAGGCCACAACATCTTGGTCTTCATATCTTCCATTTTCCTTACATTGTTTATATGTTTGTCACCTCAGAATAAAAGAAGAGAATCCCTTAATAAACATATATATTTATACCTTTCATTTCGTCCTAAGAGGTATTTGGAAGTAAATTGGCTTCACCCGAGGTCAAATGAAGATCATCTCCTTGGTGCTGTGATTATTTGATCGGTTTCCAGTGAGCCCAGCTTACGAATTTTTTTTCAAATCAAATTAAATGTTAAAAAACATTAATATCGCTCTGGTGCAAGAGAGGTGAAGGTCTTTCATTTCAAGAATTATTTCATCATCTAAGTGGGATTGGATCAGAACTTATATGCTCATAAACAATGTTAATATAGAAGGCGACTCGTCGGACACTAATAAACTTAATCACTAAAAGCACACTCAAGTTAAAATTAGAATACCTGTTAAACAAAAATGGTAAATATCAAAAATAATTGGAAAAAGCAGTGCTCGTATGCTAATTGACGAAAAGGTGAGGTGAAAGCAACGCTTTCTAAAAAGAATACACTTGGATAGAACATTTAAAGATGATATTTTTAGGAAAAAATATTTCTAAACAACTTAATTTAATATAATTAAATAAGTCACATATATTTAGACTAAGATTTTGTGTCTCAAGTTAGCCAACACACTACTACAGCTGTATATTGTTGGTCTGACTTCGTTATCTCAACTCGTTCAGGGTTACAGAGACCTTGCAGAACGTATGCAATCATGCGTCTTCTGCCATAGTAGTAATCATAATTTTTAGGATCGGATCGTTGACTTTGTACGATCCGTCACGTTTATCAAGCGTAAGAGTCGACATCGTCAGTAAGATACGTCATCCTTAGCACAATTTTGAAGGCAGTCCCCATTA